TGACCTTTAAGTTAGCAGCGTTAACACTTCAACAGCACTGTGCCACCAGGGCTCCTTTAGCATCTGTTCCACAGACTTCCGTGTTTATTGGAGTGGAGATCCACAATCTAATCCAGGGCCCTAGGTTGCTTTTAGTTGTCAATGTTTTTTAGACTCCTTTATATATTTTTATACCTCACAGCTCTTAGAAACATAGTGGCCTGTTAGGTGGGAGACTGCCCCTTGAATTTCCTTTGTCTGGGACTCCTCATTGTTAGTTGTAGAGCATGTAGTTTTGGCAGGAGCAGTACCAAAGTGATGCTGTACTCTTAGAGCATCTCACCAGGAAGCACAGGATGTTGATTTGTGCCTTTCCTTCTGATCATTTGGGTAAGATAGTGTCTGCCAGGTGTTTCCACTGTGTTGTTAATTGATGGTGTGTGTTCTTTGTAGTTGTATCCAAAACAGGCATAAATAAGGACTAATGAGCTTGTGTGTGCACACTGGGTTGGGGAAGCAACTCCTATGAGTTAAATGTTTAGAAGTCTACTTTGTCTGCTTCAATATAATTTTTAACACTTGATTTTTAAATTGTATAAATTTATCAGATAAATACAATGCCTTTTTAAAAAAATAGAATGTCTTGAGTATGAAGATAGGAAGGTTAAATACTTTGCCAGTTGCATTCTAGAGTGTCATTTACCAAAGAATGATATTATTAATATTTACTAAGACAGGAATATAAAGATGATAAAACTAAAAAATATAAGTATTATGAAATGTTTCCCTTAATTTCCAATTAAGAATTTTATTTTAAATAATGTAATTTTAAATGATAAATTTATCAAGGGCACCTGAAAATTGAGTAGCTGGGAAAGTATCCCTGAACTATGATTAATTGAAATCAATTATCCATTAAAAAATCTAAAATTTTGTGAGTCAGCATTGAGTTGATGGTAACAAGCATTTTTTTAAATAATCATTTTATTGGAGGCTCATACAACTCATCACAATCCATACATACATCAATTGTGTAAAGCACATTTGTACATTCATTGCCCTCATCATTCTCAAAGCATTTGCT